CAATGACGCTCCACTCACCTGCCTTATAGGGAAGCCGCGCCAAACTCAAATTGCAGAATAACCCTCCTCTCATACAAATAATACGGACAGCACACACACAAACATACACACAATCCGCTTAAACGCAACACCACTAACAATCCACATACATGCACACAACCCCACATTCAGCCTCTCACATGCAATACCCCAAACAGCCCACACACACTACCAAACACACAATGTGACTTATCCATCCACACACAATTCCACAAGCAGCCCTCATTCACAGCCCACATTTATATGTATCATACACGATACCATAAACTACTAATGAACATATCCAATATAATAGCTCATATACGCACAAATACAACGATACAAAGCAATTACAGTATAAATAACACAAGTAGAATACGGCAACATACACACCTCAATTTAAAAAAAGATAGGATCGGCACGCTACAGGACATCACAATCCTATATCGGCACAGTGCTGCTAAAAGGTTGCCTACCCCTGCACTAGATAACACTTCAAACAGACAACATAAGCAACTACGGCATAATAAAAAACAGCAATAATAATAATATAATAATAATAATATAATAATAATATTATTATGAATAGCTCTAAAATACAGCAGAGTAAGAAGAAGCAAATTGTACTTAGCTGGTCTGAGAGAGCAGCGTAGAAAGAGGAAGAGCTCCCCTGATATACCACCTGCTGGATGCTGATTGGTTACACAGTTACTATACAATATTATGTTTATTCGTTTCTTTTTTGTATACATCTCTCTTCGCTGCTGAGGAAAATTAAAGAAATTAGAGGGCATAATAGGAGCCTCTGTGTCTTTAATAAAGCTATCATTATTTCACCTAAAATTACTCAGAAATTTTCACACACCCTTAAAATGCAACGTCCCTCTTTTTCCATTTGAAATGCTGGGAGAACTGTTACAATAATTATTTTAGATAAATATTCTTTCTACACAAAAATGATGTAACAATCTGCTAAACACATTTAAAAGAAGTGAGTTATGGCTCGTGGTCTGAGAATTGTTAAACCTTGATTTACTTATTCAAGCTTGTCATACAGGAATGTTATATTATATATATTACACACCATTTAGCAAGGTTGATAATCATGGGTGCAGAGGAGTTTTATATTTTGTGACAGATGATGTCTGTTTCTCTATATGTGTTTTACAGCACACTGCTTGGGTTCTTGGGAAGTAATTTAAAAGGACAATGCCTGGAAGGACATTAATAATATATACTACATTACAAATACAGCATTCATTAATATGGAATTTTATGCACCTTAGCACTGGGGAACATACGGGTCAAGTTCTGAATCAAACAGGCTCCCTTGAAGAAAACCAGCACGTTTGAATGTTACAAGCACAATAACCACTTCAGCGTGCTTGATTCAATAGAGACATCCGGCTTCTCCTGTAGAACCCTGAACTGATGGGGGTGGGGGGGATTGGCACTCAGGGAGCCCAGTTAAACTGTAAAACTGTACATAGACTGTTTTTACTACTCATCAAGGGATGTAGCCAGTGCATTCTGAGCACCATGAATACTGTGTTATATTGTACGGAGAGCAGTGTATCAAGGCCCATTCACATAGTTACTGTGTTATACTGTACTGAGAGTAGTGTATCGGGTTCCATTCCCATGGTTACTGCGTTATACCGTACTGAGAGCAGTGTATTGGGGTCTACTCCCATGGTTACTGCGTTATACCGTACTGAGAGCAGTGTATTGGGGTCTACTCCCATGGTTACTGTGTTATACCATACTGAGAGCAGTGTATTGGAGTCCATCCCCATGGTTACTGTGTTATATTGTACTGAGAGCAGTGTATTGATGTCCATTCCCATGGTTACTGTGTTATACTGTACTGAGAGCAGTGTATTGGAGTCCATTCCCATGGTTACTGCGTTATACTGTGCTGAGAGCAGTGTATTGGGGTCCAGTCCCATGGTTACTGCGTTATACCGTACTGAGAGCAGTGTATCGATGTCCATTCCCATGGTTACTGCGTTATATTGTACTGAGAGAAGTGTATTGTGGTCCACTCCCGTGGTTACTGCGTTATACTCTACTGAGAGAAGTGTATAGAGGTCCATTTCCATGCTTACTGCGTTATACTGTGCTGAGAGCCTTATATTGGGCTCCACTCCCATGGTTACTGCATTATACTGTCCTGGGAGCAGTGTATTGAGGTCTACTCCCATGGCTACTTTGTTATACTGTACTGAGAGCAGTGTATCGATGTCCATTCCCATGGTTACTGCGTTATATTCTACTGAGAGAAGTGTATTGTGGTACACTCCCGTGGTTACTGCGTTATACTCTACTGAGAGAAGTGTATCGAGGTCCATTTCCATGCTTACTGCGTTATACTGTGCTGAGAGCCGTATATTGAGCTCCACTCCCATGGTTACTGCATTATACTGTACTGGGAGCAGTGTATTGAGGTCTACTGCCATGGCTACTTTGTTATACTGTACTGAGAGCAGTGTATTGGGGTCCATTCCCATGGTTACTACGTTATACTGTACTGGGAGCAGTGTATTGAGGTCTACTCCCATGGCTACTTTGTTATACTGTACTGAGAGCAGTGTATCGATGTCCATTCCCATGGTTACTGCGTTATATTGTACTGAGAGAAGTGTATTGGGGTCTACTCCCATGGTTACTGCGTTATATTGTACTGAGAGAAGTGTATTGTGGTCCACTCCCGTGGTTACTGCGTTATACTCTACTGAGAGAAGTGTATCGAGGTCCATTCCCATGCTTACTGCGTCATACTGTGCTGAGAGCCGTATATTGGGCTCCACTCCCATGGTTACTGCATTATACTGTACTGGGAGCAGTGTATTAAGGTCTACTCCCATGGCTACTTTGTTATACTGTACTGAGAGCAGTATATTGAGGTCCATTCCCATGGTTACTGCAATATACTGTACTGAGAGCAGTGTATTGGGGTCCATTCCCATGGTTACTGCGTTATACTGTACTGAGAGCAGTGTATTGGGGTCCATTCCCATGGTTACTGCGTTATACTGTACTGAGAGCAGTGTATCGAGGCCCTTTCCCATGGTTACTGAGTTATACAGTACTGAGAGCAGTGTATCGAGGCCCATTCCCATGGTTACTGCGTTATACTATACTGAGAGTAGTGTATCAGGGCCTATTCTCATGGTTATTGCGTTAAACTATGCTTAGAGCAGTGTATTGGGGTCCACTCCCATGGTTACTGCATTATACTGTACTGGGAGCAGTGTATTGAAGTCTACTGCCATGGCTATTTTGTTATACTATACTGAGAGCAGTGTATCGAGGCCCTTTCCCATGGTTACTGCGTTATACTATACTGAGAGTAGTGTATCAGGGCCTATTCTCATGGTTATTGCGTTAAACTGTGCTTAGAGCAGTGTATTGGTGTCCGTTCCCATGGTTACTGTGTTAGAATGAGGTCCGTTTTTTGTATAACTATAGGATCATTGAGCAGAATAAAATTAACCTTTTGTGTACTTTTGTCCTATTGTCACAGCATTACTATAATGAAAATCTCTACCTTTTGAACTCCACCCATCCTCATATTTTAATTTGGGAAACACTGTTCTGTTAAATTAATCTGACTACTTTTGTGAAAAGACAAATTATTGACACCCCCCTCTCCCCCTCTCTATATACTTTTAGGCTGGAGCAATGAGATTTAAAAAACAAACAAAATTAATTCTTAAATTCCTTTTGAAAAACTCAGGCAAAGAGCAACACGATGTTGAAATCTTCGAACAAAAACCTCCATTCGCACACTTTGCGTCTTTATAATTGATTCCAAGTGTAAAGAACTCTTCTCGAGAACTCATGGGGCTAAGTGATAATTTAGTTAGCTCCAAATTAAACTAAACCGTGTTACTCTTGGGCAATGTTTTGTCCAAAACGGGATAATTTGTAAAGAATAATAAAAAAAACTAAATTCAAAATGTTTCTGGAATCCTTACAAAGCTAAACAGACTGACACGAAGAATGCATTATAAAACAATCTCATCCTCAACATACAATAGAGAAGAGATAATATTTTGTATATTTAGTAGCAGAGCTATTTGCATTTCCATAATCTGAATTTAAAAAGCAGGTTTGCTTTTAGCAGAGAGGCTTTTATATTATTTCCAAAATAATAAAAACTGGTAGTTTTAAAGGGTAGTTATTGTGAAAAGTGTACTTTTTTTGAATTGCTGTAGGGTAGATTACTATGTGGTCCTGTGCAAGAATCTAGAAGTCGATCTGTTTAGTGTAAGCGAGATTGGCCTTTTAACCCCTTAAGGACAGATGACATGTGTGACATGTCATGATTCCCTTTTATTCCAGAAGTTTAATCCTTAAGGGGTTAATCCCTTCCTCCAGTCTCTCTGTTGTAGTGCGTACCAGGCTGCTATCACTGATCCAAAAGGCTTTTATAACTTTGCAAAGACCGAATCTAATAATACCTGCTGCAACAGAGGAATATTTATTTTTATGAAAAATTTTTGTGCATGCTATTTTTTCTTATATTTTCTTTATAAATGAGCAAAGAGATGACTCCCCACTGAGTGAAAAACTATGGGATATATAAGAATAAAGTAACAAAGATGTCCTCACTGTGCGCACCATAACTACTACAGGCTGTTGTAATATTAAAGCTTATTGTAATAGTTATCGATAAATGAGTTTTTGGAACGTCATCCCTCAAGTTTTTGGCAAACCACTTAAGCATTTTGAATATCCTTCCTATTTGCTGCCACCTAAATTATCTGTAATAATAAATAAGATAAATAAATAAATAAATAATAAAGTTTTTCCCTTTATCCGACTAAAATCTCCCAGCCTTGGATGGCAATAATAATTTGGGAGTTCTAAGTGAAGACAACGTAAATCAGAACTTGCAGCAACGATTTTTACAAAAACTATAAGGACTGCATTCAAGGACTCCTTCGCTATATTGGTGTTTAATGTGCCCTTTAACCTTTTGGGGCACTTCAAGCACCATAACCACTACCGAGCACTGTAGTGGTTATGGTGCCATGAGTTCCCTTGAACCATCCCACGGTAAGGGGTCAAGCCTTCTGCAAACATTTTAAAACCTACCTGGATCAGCTGGGAGATCTTCAGTGATATATTTCTAAAATAAAAAGTTCCCATTCCACTTTAAGGAAACACTATAGGGTCAGGAACACAAATGTATTCCTGACAGTATAGTGTTAAAACCACCATTTTAGGAACACGCTGGGCACCATAACAACTTAGTTGAAAGCTGAGTAGATCCCCAGTAATAAAAACTGTTAGAAAAAGGTATGTGCCTGAGGACATGGTGGCCGGTGAGCATTGGGTGGGGTGAGTTATGACAAGTTCCCTTTAAGAGAGCTAAAAATTGTAACCTAAGCTGGAGAGACATACTATTATTAAGATTTCTATCTGTAAGGAAAATCGAGCTGGTCGGATATTTGTGTTTTAATACATAGGGATGGGTTAATACCAATGTCACCACAATGTGATGTGCTATCTGTATGATGAATTGGTTAAATAAGCACCATTAATATCTTGGTAAAATTCATCCCAGCAGTTAATCAAGTGCATCTTACGCAATAACACAGCGGCTGCTTTGAAGCAGGAAGGAGGCCATTCAGAATTATAATGCGTATTATATAAGTTTCTATTAATCACAAGCAGATAGCCGCCCGTCAGAGGTTTAGGTAAACATATTCCCAGATTTTATAGAGTGCGAGCAAATCATTGGACGCAAAATAAAATGACTTATACGTGATGGTTTCCATGAAAAGTCCGGTTAGATTTACTTGTCTAAAACTAATGTAATTTGACAGTCCCAGTTGTTATCACACAGTCCCTGACGTAAAGCATTCAAACTCATGGTGAAATGATAGAAACCTGTAGAAATTGCTACTAGCCTGCCTCTTCAAAGGGAACTCGCCAATTCACTGTCATGAGTTTACAAATAGCGCCATTAAACAAGTCTATCAGTTTGGCTATTAAACAAAATAGAAAAGGTTTGTGCACAGAAGAGGCTTCATGTTTTGCCATCGAGAACAATGATCTTGTGATATTCTCTCTGGAGAAAACAAAATCCTCCACTACTTTATGTTGCTACTTACTAACTAGGACGCTCAACGTCAGGGGAGAATAATTAAATAACTCACTACAGAATACCTCCCAATTGTTCCTATTTAGGGCCCAAATCCCTCTGTCTGTGTTTTCCATTACTCCCAGTAATGTGTCTGAGTGTATAACAGAGCTCCACTACAATAATACTCCCAGTGATGTGTCTGAGTGTATAACAGAGCTCCACTACAATAATACTCCCAGTAATGTGTCTGAGTGTATAACAGAGCTCCACTACAATAATACTCCCAGTAATGTGTCTGAGTGTATAACAGAGCTCCACAGTAATAATACTCCCAGTAATGTGTCTGAGTGTATAACAGAGCTCCACAGTAATAATACTCCCAGTGATGTGTCTGAGTGTATAACAGAGCTCCACAGCAATAATACTCCCAGTAATGTGTCTGAGTGTATAACAGAGCTCCACAGCAATAATACTCCCAGTAATGTGTCTGAGTGTATAACAGAGCTCCACAGCAATAATACTCCCAGTAATGTGTCTGAGTGTATAACAGAGCTCCACAGCAATAATACTCCCAGTAATGTGTCTGAGTGTATAACAGAGCTCCACAGCAATAATACTCCCAGTAATGTGTCTGAGTGTATAACAGAGCTCCACAGCAATAATACTCCCAGTAATGTGTCTGAGTGTATAACAGAGCTCCACAGCAATAATACTCCCAGTAATGTGTCTGAGTGTATAACAGAGCTCCACAGCAATAATACTCCCAGTAATGTGTCTGAGTGTATAACAGAGCTCCACAGCAATAATACTCCCAGTAATGTGTCTGAGTGTATAACAGAGCTCCACAGCAATAATACTCCCAGTAATGTGTCTGAGTGTATAACAGAACTCCACTGCAATAATACTCCCAGTAATGTGTCTGAGTGTATTACAGAGCTCCACAGCAATAATACTCCCAGTAATGTGTCTGATTGTATAACAGAGCTCCACAGCAATAATACTCCCAGTAATGTGTCTGAGTGTATAACAGAGCTCCACAGCAATAATACTCCCAGTAATGTGTCTGAGTGTATAACAGAGCTCCACAGCAATAATACTCCCAGTAATGTGTCTGAGTGTATAACAGAGCTCCACAGCAATAATACTCCCAGTAATGTGTCTGAGTGTATAACAGAGCTCCACAGCAATAATACTCCCAGTAATGTGTCTGAGTGTATAACAGAGCTCCACAGAAATAATATTCCCAGTAATGTGTCTGAGTGTATAACAGAGCTCCACAGCAATAATACTCCCAGTAATGTGCCTGAGTGTATAACAGAGCTCCACAGCAATAACACTCCCAGTAATATGTCTGAGTGTATAACAGAGCTCCACAACGATAATACTCCCAGTAATGTGTCTGAGCTCCACAGCAATAATACTCCCAGTAATGTGTCTGAGTGTATAACAGAGCTCCACCACGATAATACTCCCAGTAACGTGTCTGAGTGTATAACAGAGCTCCACAGCAATAATACTCCCAGTAATGTGTCTGAGTGTATAACAGAGCTCCACAGCAATAATACTCCCAGAAATGTATCTTTAATTTACAATAAATATGTTTAGAAATCAGTCTGTGTAAATGAGATACATTGTTCATGTCCTAAATTACATTTTAGTTGTATAAATTGTTATTAGTAAGTCTCCTAAAAATTTTCAGTACAGACCTGTCCCTAGACCCCCCCCCCCCAACTCGAGCATAGTGACAAAATGTATATGACAGCGTGTAACAGTCGTATTAGAAAGTGCGCTATTTTTATCCCGTTCGATTTATCGAGAGATAAGATTTTACTGAAGTTGGATAAAGGAGAATTCTATTCCCCATTCTGGTAGTTTTCACTAGAGATAACGTTTTCACAGTACCTGACTTACTGAGCGTCTTAGTAGCCACATAACAATGTAGAGTACAGGCTTTAAGCCGGTTACAATAACGCGACCACTGTTCTTGCGAGTTATTCTGATATGAAATATTGTGGGTTGAATTATAAAACTGATGATTTTTCACTTTAATGAATGATTTCGTAAACTCACTGAGTACTACATCTGGATGTTTCCTATTTATGTGCGTATATAGTTTAGTTTGAATATGAAAATAATCCAGGCACTCCAATGAATTCCAAACAAGCAAGGCAATTTTATTGGAACCACAGAACAAAAAGCAACGTTTCAACCCCTTACGGCCTTTGTCAAGCTACTGAAGCACATCAATCACAAACAATGTATAGGTGTATGTGACTAAATTACAAGTGATAAAACAGGTGAAATAACCATCATTAATTTCAAATATATTAATCAAAACATAAAAACATAATTGTCTCCCGGTAAAATGGGATGTGTCCGATCACGTGACCACGTGAGACGTCCAAGACACCGTCCGTGGTCACGTGATCGGACACATCCCATTTTACCTGGAAATGTAAGTAAGGATCTTTACTTTAGTGCTGTTTATATATAATGTAATCTATTCTAATTTAAAAACAACTCGAAACACGTTGCTTACAATTAAATGATTAGATTAAATAATTATTCCATTTGTGCACTATTGGCTGAATTTGCGTGTGTGATCTGACATCCTCAATATGAATGTAAATGATTGGAGAGACAATTATGTTTTTATGTTTTGATTAATATATTTGAAATTAATGATAGTTATTTCACCTGTTTTATCACTTGTAATTTAGTCACATACACCTATACATTGTTTGTGATTGATGTGCTTCAGTGGCTTGATAAAGGCCCTAAGGGGTTGAAACGTTGCTTTTTGTTCTGTGGTTCCAATAAAATTGCCTTGTTTGGAATTCATTGGAGTGCCTGGATTATTTTCATATTCAAATTCAACATTTGGTCTTCTTTGGTACTGGGACTTGTCCAGCATAGCACCCAGGATTCCAGGACGAAGGGATGAGTGCGCTTCCATCACATATATGGCGTATATAGTTTAGGGACATCGCAATTTCAATACATTTCTATGGGAATTTAAGAAGTCGTTCTCAAATCCTTCACTGATGGCAAGAGGACTAGATACAAATGCTAATAAATATATTTTCTCTGATAATTACATTTTCACACATTGGGCTCTAGTAAATGAAACCCTTAAAATAAAACACTTTATAGTTTTAAGTAAAAATAGCCAAAATAGTGTATTTTTTCATTTCAGCTATTTCACTCACAATTTGTGATTTCCCTGGCAATATTCCACAATTTTAGGGGGTGTCACGTGTTAAGATCCAAAGACACAGGTGGCAGGTTTGGCCATGTCTGCGGCCTGCACTGACTTATCGGTGCTACTATCTGAAAAGAGAGAGAGGAGACCTAAAAATGGGTGAAACGCGTTTGCTGTAACGTTACATGTATGGGATATATTTCCATTAGATATCTGCATTTCATTTCTCAGTTTGTGTGGTATTACCTCTAATCGCTTGTGTCTGTACGAGGTCTTTGTAAAACTCCTATGGAACTTTATTTACTAAACTGGGATGTCTGCAGAATTGACCAGGGAGTATGAAATTTAAGGTTAAAATCACCAAATTGGAATAACAGCCCCAATTTTTTTTTTTTTTGTAACTTTCTGCAATGTTCACTTAAAGTTTTCAATTCCTCGGTGACCATTCCCGATTTCTTTAAAAAAAAATTTTTTTAAATGACTAGACATGTTCGTGGATCAGAAAAAAGGAGATTTTACCTGGAATTGTTCACCCAGCTCGTAGACCTCTCCTCTGTATTCACAGCCAATCTTTTCGCACCGAGGGCAGCAGTCGGTGGGGTAGTGGCTGACGTGCATGCAGGCTGGTGGTAGGGATGTACACTCTGTCCTGGCACAGGCGGGCCCCTCGGCAGTACACTCACACTGAGTGCAGTGATCGGAGTCCAGGAAGTACCACTCTCCGACGTAGTAGATGCTGCCATTGGCTTCGCAGG